TAGCGGGGGTCTGTGTTCTCCGCCACCATTTACGTTTGTGGTTTTTCTCCTTTATGAGTTACACACTGCAAATATGCAGGTAATATTAGAGAGCTTGAATTTTTAAATGGTAAACAAATAATAAGATAAAAAGTTACATTGGAAATAAATTTTAGGGGTTGCGTTTTCCACCCCTTAAAACCATGGGGTAAACCAAATAATTACTGGCTAAGTGTCTTTTTGGTAGTACAAAACGTCAGGTTAATTTCAATATTGTAACTTGTTTAGTGCTTGTGTCTGTATCTTAACAAGGGATGCTCCAATGAAATTTCTTTATCCTATCTTCTTTTCGATGAGGAATCATCTCCTTAAATGTTTTACACTTATTTAATTACACCCTGTATAGGCCACATTTTTCAAAAGTTTTGTGTAATTTTGATCATAATATAATGATAAGTATTAAGTAAGACGGAAAAATTCTTGCTACTAAGAGATATATTGGCGTGCGCTGCCTATACCGTTGGAGTTACATGCAGATAATATTACGTAAGGTTGTTTATCTTAAATAGTTTGCGATAGCATATATCTACCTCTTATGTGGTAGCCACTATATTCAAAATATTGAACCATAAATACAAAACTGTTTGACGTCATTTCTTCCACTTATTTTATTCAAGTTCTTAATTTTCCGAGGAAAACTTTCCGTAACCACTTTCCACTTTCTCCTGTAACCATTTTCAGATAATTTTGTAAACTAACAACAGACAGATGGAAAACAAGATTAAAAAACACATTTTTCATTTTTTACAATTCATTTAAAGCAAGGAGGGGTTCGAACCCTTCAACTGAAAAAGTTGGAGCCTACTCTGATTCAAATTTTACTTCTCCTAATGATCGTGTTATAATAAAAACACATTTTTTTAAATGAAGTCTATTTTGGTTAATTTAACTAGTTCTTCTATTCTAATATGATTCGAAATCAAGTTACTTCACGACGTTTCGATTCTTAGTATCCACAATCGTCTTCGTGTGATGACTGGCCTATTTCTCCGAGAGATGACTATTTATAGGTCATTCGTTATTTCACCTATACATATAGGATGCTAATAATCGAAACGTAGTGAAATAACTTGATTTCGAAAAATATTAGACAATGGAAGTCCGAACTAGTGAAATTAACCATGAAACATTGTCAACCACTTTCAAACAAAAGTCTATTTCGTTTGACTACATGACATTTCCGTTGCCAAAGATATTCACTATTGATATTTTTTTTATTACAGAATTGTTCAACCCCTGTGGATTTGATGACGAAGATTCAAGAGAATTACCTGAGTGTAACGAAATTGTGAGTACGGTTGCTAGCTACAAGGACAAGCTTCCATCGAAAAATCTCATTTGTTCGTAAGTATTTATTGAATAAAGAAATAGAGCATTTGAAAGAATTAATTATACCTTTTCACTTGATCGATTTCAACAAAAATAGAACTAATCAGCTCTATACGTGAAATGTTCAAAAAATATGGCGAAAATTAGCTTTCATTTTATGTTGGTACCACCCTTTCGAACATATTCGAATATATTCACAAAATAAGCTGTTTAGCACGTTTAGTTTCTTGGTGAGAGACATAAAAGTTGAAAATGTATTGCGTGTTCGGCCATTTTCTGCTATTGAAAACAATGGGTTAGAGAATTTGCATCACATTTTGTGTAAAAAATGGAATAAAGTATTCAAAAACACTTGAAATTTTGACAGTGACATACGGTGATTGTGCTCTGAGTCCGAAAGATGTTTTACAAGTGGTACAAGCTCTTCACAGAAAGTTGAGAAGATGTGAATGACGACGCACACCATGGACGCCTCATCAAATCAACAACCGATGAAAATGTTGGGAAAATGAAGAAAATTGTTGTGGAGAATCTTATGTCGGTCGCTTAGCGCTGGGTTGCCGTGTCCTCGAATTCTGTCGAACGTGTCCTCTGCGTATTTACCCATGTATGCGTCCACGTAGTGTATGTTCAGGTCTAGATCCCGGAATATGTACCTATTCGGTACATACAGTGCCTTCATTTCAAAACTTACCACCCCTAGTATACTTCGTTTAGCAGGGAGAATTTGCCATAGGCAAAAAACACGTCAATTTAGATATCGAAGGGGAAGTTTAAAACCAGTGCCAGTGGTATTTTAGGTTTAAGCCCCTTACCCCTAGCTGCCCCCACTTAATAATGTTAAATGGCACCCCAGTCAGTGCAACTCATACCACTTAACAAACAGTTCAAAATCAGGAATAACTCATTTTGATTAATGTTTTCACCATTTAATTGTAACTGACGCCAAGAAGCAACTATGTGTCTTTATCTCACTTTCAGCTAAGCAAAAAACTCTGTGTAAAAAAGAGACATAAACATACCGTTATTGAGTCAGTGGTAGCGGTTCCATAAATTTTTGCATTTTGTTATTATTCATTTTCTTTTTGCCCTATTTTACGAGAATGGATCAACCAATTTCAGTTTTCTAAACGGGGTTGAGTGAGGATTTTTAAGATCTTTAAAATGATGTTTTACAAGATGGGGGGTGCCATTTAAAATTATTAAGTAGGGGTAGCTAAGGCAAGGGGTTAAACCTAGAATACCACTGGCACTGGTTTTAAACTTCCCCCTCGATGTCTAAATTGACTTGTTTTTTTTGGCTACGCCAAATTCTCTCTGCTAAACGAAGTACTAGGGGTGGGAAGTTTTGAAATGAAAGCACTGTATATTGGAGCGTTTACGGCGGTCCTTAAGCACGCGTTCATAAACGACTGGATCTTGTCTTATGTATATCGCTGCGCACTGGCCCCAGGCATACAGGATTATCGGTAGTACTGGCTCATACCATGCAATTTTCTTTTTCGGTTTGTGATTTTTTTTGGTTTTGTTTTATGACGTCAACAGCAATCCAGATTTACTCAAAAGTCCAATCGTCCCAATGGAAGAGCCCAGTAGGGCCAAGACCAAAAAAAACTCGCCAAGTTCGATTAAACATAAAGGTTTTGCACACGATTACTGTGGGGTAGTGCATCAGGTTCTTGCCACGTGATCGTAGAGTCAATAAGGAGTATTATCTTGAAATTATGCACCGCTGGCTAGTAACAATACGAAGAAATCTCCAGTATTGTGGAAAAACAATTCACGGCTTTTGCAATACGAAAATGCACCTGCTCACAGTCATTGCTAGTTCGTAATGCTTTGTCCAAAAACTGTAATCATGCCTCAGCCACCGTATTCACCAGATTCGCCCCCCTGCAACTCTTTCCTGTTTCCAAGATTGAAAAGACCCATAAATGAACGGTGTTTTGCAACGATTGAGGAGATGAAGTTGGCGTGAGTGGTTTGTTCCTCTCATTCAAACAACCATCAGGTCGAACGGAGGTTTGAGTTGCGAGCCTCTTTTCATTCATAGAAAAATATTACTATTCACCATGATTATGTGCCATCAAGGTACTTACATCGAATCGACACACTCAATAGCGGTACTTTGGGTGAACGACGTGAAAATAACATTAATAATTTATTATTATTTCACAGGATAACCCTGAAATATAAAATAAAATTCATTATACGAAAAGCAAGTGATACAAATTATGAAATTATGGAACGAAAACATAAAATAATTGGCGCTGCGGGGCAACTTGATTGATAGTGGTCTGCTAGATTGAAGTGTTCATCTACTTCGAACCTTCGTAAGAGTTTGGTCCTTCCGTCAAAGGTTAAGTCATGTTTAAAGATCACTAGTGTTATTATTAGATTGACTGTTGCCTCAGCTATACTTGTTGTCTTATAATAGTCAGCATATTTGGCAATACAAGTGTAATCATCCACAAATAAACGATAAGCCACAAAGTCTGCGATACAAGTTCTACTTGAAATAATAATTATTAGGGGGACCTCAAAAAAGTACAATATTATCACGGATATACATATTTTCACTAAATCTGTAATCTGATTCTACAATGTTCACATACACATGTACATATCATAATACAATAATCAATAAATTTGTTCGTTCAATATACAAACATAACCAAATTTTTCCAATACTGCTTCGACACGGTCATTTTTCTGATGCAAACTAAATTATTTTTCGATTTTTTTTATAAAAACGATATCATGTTGGGAAAATTGGCGCTGTTGGGCGACTTGATTGATTCCAGTGGCGCAGTTGCTTTTTCAGCTGCAGGAAAACCCGGAAAAACCTGCAGCACCACATTATCTAAAGATCTTGATCTGCCAATGTCCTCTCTTCCATAGAATGAAATGTAGGGTGTCTCCACAGGCTAAAATAAATTCAAGACATCGCCAGAACCACAGTGAACAATGACTGAATGAAGATTATAATAGTGGTCTGCTAGATTGAAGTGTTCATCTACTTCTAACCTTCGTAAGAGTTTGGTCCTTCCGTCAAAGGTAAAGTCATGTTTGAAGATCACTAGTGTTATTATTAGATTGACTGGTGCCTCACCTATATTTGTTGTCTTATAATAGTCAGCATATTTGGCAATACAAGCAATTATCCACAAATGAACGATAAACCACAAAGTCAATGACTGTCTGCGGTACAAGTTCTACTTGAAATAATAATTATTAGGGGGACCTCAAAAAGGGACAATATTATTACGGATATACATATTTTCACTAAATCTGTAACCTGATTCTACAATGTTTACATACACATGTACATATCATAATACAATAATCAATAAATTTGTTCGTTCAATATACAAACATAACCAATTTTTTTCAATATTGCTTCGACACCGTCATTTTTCTGATGCGAACTAAATTATTTTTCAATTTTTTTTTTATAAAAACGATATCATGTTATATCAAGGGATATACATTTGAAAACATGAGCAAGGTGTTTAATAAATGCGGAGTCATTAACAAAACGGAATACTTCATACTCATATTGATTTCAAGTAAACTGCATATATACATGCATTATAAAAAGGATGGGACCCTAGGCATTTTCCTGTGATATTTCATTTTTTTCATTACTGTAACACTCACTGATTTCTATCATTTGATACACAGTGTGTATTTTCACGGATTCCCATAACCTGAAGGGTGTTCAATAACTGCGTATGATATACCATACGAAATGCTTTCTGAATTAAAAAAATGGATGAATTATAATGTCACCATTTTTGGGAGAGAAAGGTTTCGGCTCTCTACTTCTCCATCTTGATGCGAAAAATGTGAGAATCTTCCAAATGATGGAAGGCAGCAATCAATATCCGAAACTTAACTCTATACATAACGATAGTTTGGAATACAAACTGAATAGAGAAAAGTGTTTTGTATAATTCAGTATTCATATGAAAGTAGTTGTTTGGAAGTATTTTATTTGTGTAATTTAATGTTTATATGAAAGTAGCTGTTCAGAGAGGGATATTCCTTTCAGTTTGTTCTGAAGGTTGCATGATCAACATATAATCTGTATCTGTAGAGTAGGGAGGGTGAGTGTAGGCTCACATCACTTAGGCCACATGTGACCCATTGTACAGGATGGAGTTGTCCTCCTAGGCCATCGTCCATCCTCTCCTTTCCAGGAAGGTGGACAGGTCTCTGGGAGACATCTCACATCTCCTTTATATCGGCAGGTGTAGGCCAAGACTCCCCGAATACACACTCTCTTATTGACGATAACTCCGGACATTCGAATAAGGGTGTGACGTTTGCCGTAGGTGCCACCGGGTCCTGAAATTCTTAGTCCAGCCGCTTCCTTGGCTAAAAAGTCGGCAATGCAATTAGCTTTATTCCTGTTGTGCTCTTCAACCTCAAGATAATATTATTATCTACTAAGGCTTTGGCTAAATCTTGGTGGCACTCTAGTACTAGCCCTAAGGTAACACGTTGTCTGTTCAAGGCTAATAGGGCTTGTCTGCTATCAGTGCAGTTTGTTATGTTTTTGTCAGAAATTCCTTTCCTGGTTATTTTTTTTTGTGGCGAATAAGATGCCAGCCAGTTTTGTTTAGACCACGCTGCTATTTTTTCCTATTCCCCACTTAATCATTAGGCTTAGTGATCTGGAGTACACTCCACATCCTGAGCCTTCTTTGGTTTTTGAGCCGTCTGTATATGCTCAGTTTGTATTTAAATAATTATGCAGTTCATGCNCTCTTCATCAACTTACTAACAGTTTTAACAAAGAGTCAATTGCTCAATGTATATTCTGCTCAAGTGAAATCAAGACAGGTATGGTTTCTGAGGTGGATCTTCCCCTGTAGGAAATGTTTTTATAGTACAAACGTGTATTTTGAGGTGCATAGCGAATTGTTAAGAGAATCATGCAACGCACTTTTTAAGAAGTATGGTGTTTTAACTCTGACATGGGATTATATTATTGAACTTTCACAACAAATCTGAAATGTCATCAACATGATACTAGGGACAATAAC